TCGTCATCATCACTCTCCTCGCTGTCTGATGGATCACTGTGAATTCCCATGGCCTTCCCAAAGTTATTATCATTATCAGAATATCTGATAACCAAACAATTATCCATTATTTTCTATTTTCTATTTTAATTTATTAATTATTCTTTGTTGATTCTATCTCCAATTATTTAATCAAATAAATAAAAATATCAAAATTGATTAATTTACCTTCGAAAATTATATTTTTCACGAGGTGAATTTATCTCTATAGAACTTCGAGCCTCGTTAATCGGATATTGCCTGGGTCTTCTCGAACTGGAAGGTCTACGAATCACTGGGCTCTGTATCTCTTCCGCGTTTTGTACATCGATACTCTCGTCAAATTTCGTAAAGGAGGAAATATTACGTATGTCTTCCTCATCACTGCTGTCTCTAATATCCATTGTTCAACGATGAACATCCGTTTTCCTTGAATTATTTCTGACGATTTTACGAGGAAATAATTACACAAATCGTTGGTAGAAAACGATACGCTTCTTTTCTCGATTGTTTTGATCTCTGTGCTCAGCTGTTACTATGGTTTCGTTATGGATCGATGAGCGCATGCTTGATTATTTTTTCGTACATTTTAAAAATATTGATATTTAAATACAATACTTATTAAATTATTTATTAAAATACATATAAAATTAGTAATTAATTACTAATTTTTCTATTTGTAAAAAAAAAAATAACATTTTTATTATAAATATTATAATATTATAATTTGAGTATCAAAAATAAATGAAATTGTTATACATTTAACAGGTATTTTTATTATTTTGAATTAATTCACATTAGAGTAGAAATAATTATGATATTTGATGTCAGTCTGTCATTGAATTGTTAAAAATTTTTTGATAATTTCTATATTTTTTAACGTGTGACATGATTCATTGTTTCTGGTAATTTATATCCATTTGTTTCGTTTCTGGAAAAAGGGATAATCTGTAGATTTACAGATTATCGAAACACCATTGATATCTCTTAAAGACAAAAGATTTAAGATTATAAAATCATTAGTTTTTATGGCTCTTCATATAAGAAACTTAATAAGTTAATCATTTTTTTATACACGATATAATTTTATTTCTTCGTCGATAACACATTGATACAAATATTTTATCACAGGTGTGATAAAAAATTAATATTTTATCTTTGATAAAATGACTCTACCAAATATTGAAATCAACGATATTTATTTATATGACAAACACTATAAAAATATCACGTTATACAATAAATAACAAATAATACGACGAAGTAATAGAATCTTAATAATTGTAAATAAAATTTCATACGATGAAATATATAAAATTCGTATAAATAATCGTAATAATTCATAAAAAGGAAAAAAGACGAAGCGAAAATTACTTCGTTAAAATAAAAAAAAAAAGTGTTAAAAATTTATATTCTTAGACAATATCAACGTGAACTCAAAATAAAATCATTCTAAAAATATTCTTAAAAAACGATATCTCAATGGAATATATCATTAACGAACGTAGCTTAAATAAACTAAAAGAGAAAAGAAAAAAAGAAAAAAGAAGAGAGAGAAAGAAAGAGAGAGAGAGAGAGAGAAAGAAAAAAATTAGCACAAATAACAAATTCCAGATGACGATTCAGATGCCTTTAGATCCACGATTGTTTAATCGTATTGCTTGACAAACCTCTTCCTTGAAGAAATGATTCATTACCTGCGATTCATTACCTTTGATAATATAAAACTATTGATAATTGTCTGGAATGTTAAACCGAGAATCAGTAACAATAACATCACCGTATCCTATCTTTATGATTAGTTTCTGTTTTCATTTCGATGAAAATTTTCATTGGAATGTTTTACATCTTCTTTCTTCTATTTTTCTTTTTTCCTTTTCTTCGCCTTCTGGAAAATGGATTGAATAAATAAATAAAAATATCAAAAGGAATGGACGTGGCTTCCGCTATATTGGATATTTCCCGTAGATATGGCCGCTCCTGGTTCGTCTTATCAACCATTTTTGGTTGTTCTTGTAGAATATTTTATCGGTGGTTTGGGTACTTTGAGAATTCTGCGGTTGGGCCACGTTCAAGCCGAAAATCGATTTCTTCGGGATCGTGTTCCTTTTCTTGCTGGAGGAACGAACTCTGGATATATCTTCGTCGGAGTAATTCCTGTTTTGTATTCGTCCACGGGAGAAAATCGAGTCACCGCATGCGTGAACGCAATTTGTCGAACTGGAAGTTACGTTCGAAACGCAGAATTGGTCTTCCGGATGTTCTACCGTAATTCTGTGAGTGATCGATCAGGGGAAAAATTTCATTTGAAAATGTTCAATCTGTTGTTTCAATCAATTTAATAATTGGCCAGTTTTGTTAACGATTAATCGAATAATTCTTATAGTTATTCGATCAATCAAGATAGTTTTTAAATTAATTTTTTCTTCGATCACCAATTGCATAAACTAACGTTTCTATTCCCGCAGATTCGAAAACGTTTCGCACTTCGTCCTTCTCACACTTCGACGCGAGGATTACGAGTAGAAAAAGGATAATACAGATGACGGAGAAGGCTAGGATATCTGTGGTAACGTTCCTTAATGTTATGCTACGAAGTTTCGAATCCGAATTGTCGAAATTTTCA